ATTGTCCAGATGCCAGGTTAGGTCACCAGATCCCTCACATGCAGGTCCATGCTAGGTAATTGGGAAAGATCCCGGGAGTCACTGGCAGACAACACAAGCTCAGTCCTCAGCAGTAGCAGCAGAAGCAGCAGTGGTGTCTTCTTGGCGCATCCTGGGGGCACTGGCAGCAACAGCTTGCAGGCAGCAGCCTCCAGAAGCAGTAATGGCCTCCCTGTGACCACCCCCCCCGGGGGGCATCCTGGGGGTGGGGAGCCATGGATCAGAGTCAGTGGTCCTTTATACTTAAGTCCATAACACAGGACACCTGGGCACACATATGCAGTTAAATCAGACAATAGCCAATGAACACCTTGGGCACACGTGCCTCTTTATATTAAATGCTCGGCAAGATTCTGAACATCTGAGGGGCCCTGACCATTTTCCTATATTTTCCCTACAGTTCCTAACCAGTGCTGACCTTGGGCCTGGGTCAGGGAAATCTGGGTTCTGCCTTGACCTTGCACTTCCCTGGCTGTTTGGTGTAGGGAAGATCAGCCTCTCTGAACCTCAGTTCTGCACCTGTAGATATCCCCAGATAATGAGCCTGGCCTGTGGAGAGGTGGGGGGATTGAAAGAGATCCTGTTGGTGGAGGGTGGGCTGGAGCCCATGCCTGGTGCTTCTGGTGCATCTGGAGGCTGAGAGCCCTTCCTGTGACTGCCGATTTGAGGCCTGACTGCTCTAAAGATCTGTTCAATTGCTTCTTCCCAGAACCTTCCAGGCACCTCAGCAAAGGATTTCTCCTTTCCCTGCACTCTCAGTCTTTTTTATTTGCAGTGTGTGTTTCGGCTCACACGTTTGCTGAGCACCATCACGTGCCAGGCTGGGGGCTGCACCTGAGCAAGATGCTGTCCTTGCCTGAGCAGCTTAGGCTGGTCCTCTGGGACTGTTTCACACCTGCTGTTTGTCTTTTCAGACGGTCTAGCATCTTTCTAATTTTTAAAAGTTATTTAGTCTCATTGTGGAAAATATAACAATGATCAAAAAAGAGTTTCCCCGTCAAGATTTTGTTGTATTTTTCTTTCAGTGTGGCTGGCTATTCTTCCATCCACCCATCTATAAATAATGTCTATCCATTAATAGCAAAATTATGTTCATACCAAATAATTGTGTATACCATTCTTTAAAATTTAGCATTCATTATGTGCATTTTCCTATGGTATTTAAGATTTTGAAGGTGGGATTTTCACTGGCTGTGTTGTAATTCATTTTGTGGATATGTTCCAATTTGCCCATTGCTGAACACTCAGCTTGTTTCTGGAAACTTGTTATTAGAAATACCTCTGTGTTGTGTATCTTGATGAATACACTTTGGATAATCATGAAGGTAGGATCTCAGGAAGTAGATCCATGGTTACAAGTGACAAGTGAGTGTCTCTGAAGCTTCTGGCCCTTTTGCTGATGGCTGTTTGTTTGATAATACCAGACTCTACTGCCCTCATGCATGTTGTAGGGATAAGTCATCCCAGACGTACTATGAGCAGGCCTTTGTGGGCGAATCACTGATGGGAGGCTTCTCACAAGCCTGGGAGGTGTGGAAGCCTGGGACACTCATCTGTATCCTCACTGGCCTTCTTACATGCTCTCTGAGTGCATGTGCCCCTCTGCTGTCTAGGCCTCTTACTATTTCGTATTTTAAATATAGACGCTGGCCTTTTGCTGGAAGGCTTGGAAGCTGTTTAGCCAGTAAAAGTCATTTGTTCCTGCCTGGGGACCTGAGGTATAGAGAAGGGGACCCGACCTCTCTCCCACAGCCAGGCACACCTAGCCAGCACCTTGGGTCCTTCCCAGTGACCCAAGGTATGGAGCCAGGGACCAGACCCTCCTCCCACAACCAGGCACACCATGCCAGCACCTTGGGGCCTGCCCAGGGACCCAGGGCATGGAGAAGGGGACCAGACACACCCCACAACCAGGCATACCACCAGTGCCAAGGAGCATACCAGGAACAGCACCTCCATGTAGGTGGCCCACTGCAGCCTCAACAATAACCATGGCTGCTGCGAAAGCGACTAGACACCACAAGCACCACGCAGATGGTCCGCCAACCACTGGACTGCGTTCACACAAGGAGAGTCACCAGCAGAGTCAAAGAAAAGAAGAGGATGTCTCTTTCCACAAAGCCAATTTCAGAGTAACAGAAGAAGCATCTGCTCTATGATAATATTGGGGGACCCAATCACATCTCTCAGCATTGGACAGATCATCTAGGCAACAAATTAACAGAGTAACAATGATTCTTTCAGAAGGAGAGAAGAAGTCTAGGGTAATTGGGGGGGAGGGGAAGGGAATGGAGGAAGGGGAGAGATTGGACAAGGGGCATAAAGAATAATTACAATTTGTAACAATACATATGCTAGTAATATTGATTTGATCAACACATCTCAATGTTCAACCCCCAAAATATGTATAACTGATTTTGATTCAATAAATAAAATAAATTAAAAAAAAATAAAGAAAAAAAAAGTCATTTGTTCCAGCACAGCAAGGGCTTGGTGATGGCCGCTGTCATCCAGCTGGCCAAGGGACCCTTTCTTTTGATAGTGCCAACCTTTCCCAAGCCTGACGAGAGTAGCCTGCTTTCTAAAACTCATGGCCCTGATCTGAGCTATTTTGTGTGACTCTGTGGCCTCATGCCTGATTGATCTCTGTGCCTGGGGTGGGGCCCACCTGTGGTCACTGCTTAACAGCTGCTGAAATGAACAGGTATGACGTTGATATGTGATTTTGGGATTATGCTCTGTCTGTAATGAGTTTTCATTTCAGATATTGCTGGATATAGAGCCATAAGTATTTTAGCTTTAACTTGGAGGAACACAGCTCATGTTCTGTAGCCAAACATACCTTGAGTCTGGCCTCTACTTCCTGCCCCTGTGACTCAAGCAGGATCTTTACCTGTGGACTGGGGATTACAAAACCCTTTTGCCTAAATAGTAAGATTATTGTAGGAGCAGCAGGAAGCACATTGAAAACAAGTGGCCTCACATAAAGAAAAAAGTATTACTGTAATCTCTTCTTGTTTGGGAGGCATTTTGGGTTCCTTAGGAATAAAACATTTCTTGGAAAAAAAGAAAACATTGATTGATAGTATTCAGGAGAGATTTTCACTGACGAAGCAGTGTTCTGCTTTGTTAAATTTCGATTTCGTGTGTTGTTTAGTAGGAAAATTCTCCTAGGTCATTAACTTCCCTGCTTGTTCATGGTGAAGCCCTTTCTGTGTCTACAGAGAGGGGCGCTCCTGGGACTGCAGAGCCTCGCAGAGGCACTCTCTCCACCCGACCAATGCCACGTTGGCCTATTGCTTTTCTCATCTCCCCTTTCTGGTAGAGGAGTTGTGTTGTAGAAAGGAGAAAAATGGGGTGGGGATCAAGAGAAGTTTTTGTTTTAAGATGGGAGAAATAAGAGCATGTTTGCAGGCCAGTGGGAAGGATCCAGGAGAGAGGGAAGAGTTGATGATCTGGAGAAAGAAGCAGACACGGCTGGAACAATGTCACTGAGGGCATGGGAGGGGCTCAGTTCTGCACACACAAGCTGCTGTATGCTTTTTGTCTGTGGCCTGCCAAGGGGAGGGCTGTGGGAGCAGTCTGCCATGGGGGCAGGCAATAAGGGGCGCATCGTCTTTAGAGAATTTAGAAGGCATAATCATACTGATCAGATGTTAGTCTGCTTTTTATTATTTCCATGAGTCAGCATTTTTAAGTGATGTGAGTGATAAAACACCCGTGCTCTGGGGCAGACCACTGCCTGTACACGTGGGTGCCACCATGGGCAGGGAGGGGGGCAAAGAGGCAGGCGGGCTGGTAGGTGTGGTGGAGGAAGCTGGCTTCTGGCTGCTTCAAGTGGAATAGCAAGCAAGATTAGCAGTGAGAGTGAGCAAAGGGGAGGAGGTATGAGGTATTTGTTCAGCATTGATAGAGAGCATGTGGCCGGGTGGTCTCCTGTGACAGCCAGGCAATGGGAAGAGTCTCCCTGAGGCCTGGAGAACATCAGGGGAGCCAGCAGCATGGGAGAAGATTTTCAGCTGGCCAGCTACATGGGTGAGGGAACATAGGAGGTGGGAACTGGACTGCCTCAGTGTTGTTATTTCCTGAGTGCCTACTGTGTTCTGGCTGCTGAGGAGGTACCTTATGTGCATTTCCTATTTAATTCCAGCAACCCAAGGTCACCCAGCTATGACCCATTTAGGGACTTAAGTTGAGATTTAACCTGGGCCTCTCTGGTTTTAAAGCCATTGTCCTTTCCATCATAGCAATTCTTTCAGTATAAATGTAAAAATAATAATAAAATCTGGCTTTTGTTATTGTATCCTAAATTTATTATTTTGTGTATGCAGATAATTGTTTTTATCAGAGTCAAAAATGAGTATTTTCTTTTCTCATTTTGTCTTCCTGCCTAGTATAATGGGACAGACATAATAGACTTATTAGTAAATATTGGTGAACAGTGATAATGCTTTAAAATAGGAATTAAGTGACTTAAGAAAGGCAACAGATTCTCATCCTTCTTGTTTTTAGTTCCTGTGCCAGTCATTGAAAGTTGTCTTGGCTCTTGAAAAAGGCCATTTTGTTCAGTTTTTCCTTGCACCTAATTCGAGAGTCTAACTAGCATACTTACTTGCTGTCAGTGCAGTTCATTCATTTGAGGGGTAGGATTTGATTTTTCAAGTTGCATATTTGTTTTTTACTTGGCTGTATCTATACTGGAATATGGGCAGTGAGTAGATTTGGGTAACAGGGAAGTCTATATTAGAAACTATTCAGAAGGACTGAGGTTTTGAAAGCCTAAGGAAAGAACTTTCTGGCAACTGGGGCCACCTGAAGATGGTAGTGAGCTGCCTCCTGTGGAGGTATCTACCAGAATGACACAATCTGTTGGAGGCCTTCAGTATTTCATTTGGCAATTGGAAATAATAATTGTTTACATGGAGATGAAATAACATATTTTTCTTTTTTTTTTCTTACAGAAAACACGGCTATCTTCATGTGTAAATGTTGTAATCTTTTCTCACCAAATCAGTCAGAGCTTCTCTCGCATGTGTCTGAGAAGCACACGGAAGAAGGGGTGAATGTGGATGAGATCATCATTCCCCTTAGGCCTCTGAGTACTCCTGAACCCCCCAACCCAAGCAAAACTGGAGATGGTAAGGGGGTCTGGGGTGCTGGACAGGGACGCCATACCCACAATTAGCTTGTTGATGCTGATTTGCTCTTGAATACTTGGATGCCAGCTCTCTGTTTCACAGGCATGGCAGAAATGTAGAAAATCCACATTTCCAACCCAGAAGTCACAAGAGTTGTCCAAATGTAGATCTGCTCAAGTAAGATTGTGTCTTTGAATTCCCCATGCCTGGCCCCTGTAGATACTCCTCCAGTGCCTGCTTGGTAGAAGAGATGAAAGTTTCCAACAGTGTGAAGAGCATGAGCTTGCTGTCAGACAGGTATGGGTTTGACCCAGCTATAGCATCTACTTGCATTACCTGAAGCAAATGATGTTACTTCTTTATACCTCACTTTGCTTATCTGAAAAATGAAGACAAATATGCCTGTCACAATGGGAGCTATGAAGATTAAGTCAAAGGATATACTTACAGCACCTAGGATGAGGCCTGGCACATAGAACACTATAAAGGGAAGCTGCTGTTATAACATACATGATTGATAAATAAGTGTATATAATCTTAGAAACAGCATTTATAAACTCATCATGTAAACCTGGATCTAGAATTCAAATTAAAAAGCTTTGATTCACTCAGATACTTTTGAGTTCACAGTCAATGTGCAAAGTGAGATATATCTTGTCTGCAGCATCCAGACATCTCTTGCTGAATGAATCAGGTGCAGCAGGTGCATGGATTAGAGAAACATTCAGGCACTGTAATTAGGTCCCCACAGGCAAAGAAAATATATAGTACAGGAGGAACAGCTGCAAAAGTCCCCCCCAAAACTTTTTATATGATGAGGGACAACAATCAGTCTCCTGTGCAAAAGCCCAATATATGGCAGTAAACATCCCATTGCAGGGCTCATTAGCCACACTGATAATCCAGTTGTTCTTTCCTGGGAGTGTTCAGATTGGCATTTCTAAACAGGCTGGCTTGTTGATGTCTGTCAGACACCGTTAACAAGGAGAGACTCCAGACAAAAAATGTTTTGATTAACAAGTTGCTCTGGTCATAACCAGGGTGTTCAGAGAAATATACCTGACAGAAGATTGAGTTGTTGAGAAGTTAGGAAGTTCTGTAGTTACTGTTAGTGGCATAAGGTGAAAAACTAGGAAAATCCAGTACCTGAAACTAGTAATGGCAAGTAAGGAAGAACAATTATTATTTGTGTCAACATCACCATCAACTAATACTGGTGGTGTGTCCATGGCGTGACTCAGCCCCCTCCCAGGCCTATGAGCAGATCTGTCCTCTCCCCATTTAGGGAAAGCAGGAGGGAGGCAGAAAGTTGTACGTAATCACATGTCAATTGATAGCACATGTTTGATACTCTTTGCTTTAGGGGAGAGGTGAGAGGAGAAAAGTTTATATGGGGCACGAAGAGTCAGAATCTGCATTGGTTTTTCAATGTGATGCACCTACATAGGATTTTTTGAAAAGAATTGTCCCACTTGATATTGGATAGACTTCTTAAACCAATAGATTAATGATTTTTATAAATTTTGGAAAAATCTGAACTGTTATGCCTTCCAGTATCGCTTCATTATCTTCCTCTCCTCTTGATGAGACTTGAGTTAAATATGTGTTGGCCCTTCTCTATGCCGTTATTCTAAGTTCTGTATTTCCATGCTTTTGTCTCTTTGTGCTGCATTTTGAGTGTTTTCTTCTGATCTATTTTCCAGTTCACTAATTCTTTTTTCACTACTTTTTTTTGAGACAAAATTCACATAAAATAAAATTTTCCATTTAAACAATTCAAAAGTGAAAAATGCAGTGATTAAAATTCGCAGTGTTATGCAACTGCCACAACTCCCTAATTCCAGAACATTTTTACTCCAAAAAGAAACCCTAAACCCACTAAGCAGTTACTCCCCATTCTCCTTTCCCCATCCCCTGGAAACCACTAACCTACCTTCTTTCTCTATGGATTTGCCTATTCTGTAAATTTCATACAAATAGAATCATATATGTGGCCTTTTGTATCTGGCTTCTTTCACTTAGCATAATGTTTTCAAGGTTCATCCATGTTGTAGCATGTGTCGGCACTTTATTTTTTATGGCTGAATGATATTTCATTGTATGCATAAGCCACATTTTGTCTATCCGTTCATTTGTTGATGGACATTTGAGTTGTTCCCACTTTTTAGCTGTTATGAATAATGCTTGTATGAACATTTTGTACAAGGTTTTACGTGGTTATGTTTTCATTTCTCTTTAGTATATACCTAGGAGTGGAACTGCTGGGTCATATGGTAATTCTATATTTAAGCTTTTGAACATTGCCAAAGTGTTTTTCATAGTAGATGGACCACTTTACATTCCTGTCAACAATATATGAGGATCTAATTTCTCCACTTCTTTGCCAATACTTGTTAGTTTTTACATTTTGGATTATAGCAATCCTAGTGGGTGTGAATTGGTATCTCATTGTGGTTTTGATTTTGTGTTTCCCTGATGATTAATGAGGTTGAGCATTTAAGCCTTTGACACATTTTGAGTTAATTTTTGTACGTAGTGTGAGATAGGGTTCCAAATTCATTCTTTTACATGTGGCTATCCAGTTATTCTAGCACGATTAGTTTCTCAACCATTAGTCGAGAAGACTGTTTTTTTTCTCATTTAGTGATCTTGTCACCCTTGTCATAAACCAATTGACTATAGATGTATGGGTTTAATTCTTTTTTTTTTTTTTTTTTCTTTTTGTCTTTTTTACTGACCGGTAATGGGATCGCAACCCTCGGTGTCGTGCCCATACCGGGGACCGGCAACGGGATCACAACCCTCGGTGTTGCGCCCGCACTGCGCTCAGCCAGTGAGCGGGAACCGGTCTCCACATGGGATCCGAACCCTCGGTGGGAGCACTGCCGCGCTCCCAAGCGGCGCACTCTCCAGTGTGCCACTGGGCCAGCCCTAATTCTGAACTCTCAATTCAATTCCATGGTTCATTATGTCTGTCCTCATACAAGTACCATACTGTTTAGATTATTTTAGCTTTATAATAAGTTTGAAATGGGGACGTTTGAATCTACAAACTTTTTATTTATCAAGACTGTTTTGGCTTTTCAGGGTTCCTTGCAATTCCATATGAATTTTAGGATTAGCTTATTTCTTCAAAATAGGTAGCTGGAATTTGATAAAAATTGCATTGGATCTGAAGATTGGTTTGGAGACTGATATTTAATATCTTAATAATATTAAATCTTTCAATCCGTGAACATGTGATGTCTTTCCACTTATTTAGGTCTTTAATTTCTTTCAACAATGTGTTGTGTTTTTCAGTGTACAAATCTTATATACCTCCTTGGTTACTTTAATTCCAAAGTATTTTATTCTTTTTGATACTACTGTAAACAGAATTATTATCTTAATTTCACTTTCAGATTGTTGATTGCTAGTTTATAAATACAACCATTATTTTATATTGATCATGTATCCTGTAACCTTGCTGAATTTGTTTATTAGGTCTAATAGTTTTTTAGTGGATTCCATAGGAGTCTATACAGGTTGAGTAACCCTAATCTGAAAATCTGAAATCCAAAATTCTCCAAAATGCAAAACAATGCAAAACTTTAGAGCATTGATGTGACACTCAAAGGAAATGCCCATTGGAGCATTTTGGATTTCAGATTTTTGGATTAGGGATCCTGAACCAGTAAGTATAATGCAGATTCCAAAATCTGAAAAATCCAAAATCTTAAACACATTTGTTCTCAAGCATTTCAGATAAGAGATATTCAACCTGTATAGTCCCTTGTCATCTGTGAATAGAGATAGTTTTACTTCTTCCTTTTCTAATCAGGATGCCTCATATTTAATTTTCTTGCCTAATTGCCCTGACTAGAAACTTCAGTGTGTTGTTGAATAGAAATGGAAAGAATAGACATCCTTGTCTTGTTCCTGATGTTAGGAAGAAAGCATCCAGTCTTTCACCATTAGGTATGAAGTTAGGTGTGGGTCTTTTTTGTTTTTTGGCCTTCTTTTTTTGATACCCTTCATCAGGTTAAGGAATTTCCTTCCATTCTTATTTTGTTGGGTGTTTTGTTTTGTTTTATCATAAAAGGGTGTTGGATTTTGTCAAATACTTTTCCTGCATCTGTTAAGATGATCGTGTGTGTGTGTGTGTGTTTTAAATTTTGTTAATATGGTGTATCACATTCATGGATTTTCATATACCATAATGCAGTCACCCTTGACTTCCTGGGATAAATCCCACTTGGTCATGTTACATAATCCTTTTAATAAGCTGCTGGATTCAGTTTGCTAGTATTTTGATGAATATATTTGCATCTATATTAATAAGGAATATTGGTCTAGGGTCTTTGATATCTTTGTCTGGTTTTAGTTTCAGGGTAATGGCAGCCTCTTACAATGACTTGGGAAATGTTCCCTCTTCCGTTTTTTGGAAGATTTTTGAAGTATTCATGTTAATTCTCCTTTAAACATTTGATAGAATTCATTAGTAAAGCCATTTACTTCTGGGTTTTTTATCTTTCCAGTGGGAAGTTTGTGATTTCTGATTCAATTTCTTTACTTGTTATATGTGTATGCACGTTTTCTGTTTTTGAATTAGGTTCAGTAATTTGTGTATTTCTAGGAAATTTTTCATTTCATCTATGCTATCTAATTTTTTGGCGTACAATTGTTTATAGTATTTTCTGATAATTATTTTGATTTTCTTAGGGTTGATAATAATGTCCCCCCTTTTATTCTTGATTTTAGCAATTTGAGCCTTATATATTTTTTCTTGGTGAGTTTAGCTAAAGATTAACCAGTTTTATTGGTTTTTAAAAAAACTTTAGTTTTGTTGATTTTCTCTTTTCTTTTTCTGTATTCTATTTCATCTCTTTCTACTCTAGTCTTTTTTATTTCTGCCCTTCTTTAACCAGTTTTATTGGTTTTTAAAAAAACTTTAGTTTTGTTGATTTTCTCTTTTCTTTTTCTATATTCTATTTCATCTCTTTCTACTCTAGTCTTTTTTA